GTAAACTTTCATCATTAGTAGCAAGCTGGGAACACCTATAAGAAGAGTACAGAGATGAATCTTTTTCCCTATTTTACAGCAAATAAATTTTTTTTTTTACAGCAAACAATTTTTTAAAAAGATTCTATTTGTTGGGGTGCGTGGGTAGCTTTTTCTTTAAAAAAATTTTATTTATTTATTTGAGAGAGAGAGCATGAGTGGGGAGAAGGGGCAGAGGGAGAGGGAAAAGTAGACACCCTGCTGAGCAGGGAGCCTGATACCAGGCTTGATCCCAGGACCCTGAGATCATGACATGAGCTGAAGGCAGATGCTTAACTGACAGCCACCCAGGTGCCCACTTTCCCTATCTTTAATCCCACCTCTCCCAATGCCAGAAATCCCTTTAACCCTCATAGTTATAAGGAAAGTTGTGGATTTCCTTCCCTTCAGCCCACATGAAAAGAAGGCAGAGAATAATTCCTCTCTCTTAGGTCTTACTCTCTACCAACCCAAGGATTTCTGCACTTAGAAAAGAAATAGGGGAGAGTGTTCATTATTTAATCATCCTTCTCAAAACCACCCTTCTCATTTCTTGGAGGCATTCTCTCAAATAAACAATAGGAAAAGTCATACGTAATATGGTAAGAGGCAACTGATAACTATAATATGTTATTCTGTTATAATCAAGTAGTTTGTTATCTTTAAGAAGCCAACAAAATTAGTCTAATTTTTATTTAAATAAGGGTGCTATGATCTGATCAGCACTACTAAACACATTCCTCAGGTGCTGTGAAGAAAGCTCAATTCAACTTTTCCTCTACATTACTTAACATTTTTATCACGGGGGAGGAGGTAGAGACCTTTTAATACTGCCTACAAACATCTTCAAGTCTGACTTGGTTTTACTGAGTGTAAGTATAAATGTGACTGAAAAACTGTTAAAATTCTTTACTAGGGGCCCCTGGGTGGCCCAGTTGGTTAAGCCACTGCCTTGGGCTCAGGTCTTGATCTAGTGGGCTTCCTCCTCAGCAGGGAGTCTGCTTCTATCTCTCCCTCCCTCTGTTCCTCCCACCTGCTTGTTCTCTTGCTCTCTCTCAAATAAACAAAATCTTTAAAAAAATACAAAGTTCTTTACTAAAACAGAAGTCTTATTACTTTCTGAACTTCCTATTCTGTCATTTCTCCCACTAACCCTTTTTTTCCCCTTTAATCAAGAGAACAGTTGAATAAAGGGATTTCTCATTGCATGGATTTTTTTTAGATTTTACTTATTTGTTTGAGACAGAGAGAGTGGGAGGGAAAGGGAGATAGAAACTGAAGCGGACTCCATGGTAGCTCAGAGCCAGATGTGGGGCTCGATCCCACATTGTGAGATCATGACCTGAATTGAAACCAAGAGTTGGACACTTAACCAACTGAGCCACCCAGGCTCAGTTGCATACATCTCTAAGATGAAATATTGCTGAGAACATATTTCATCACGTTCACTTTAAATTCATCATGAAGTACTTTATCCCATCATGAATGGGATAACCTATGATATTTTTCTTTTTTTTTTTACATTATTTAGATACATAATTTTGGAAAGCCAATGTAACTTAAGAGGACTATTTTCCTTTCTCCTTCAGGTGATTTTTTTTTTTTTTTAAGATATTATTTACTTGACTGAGAGAGAGAAGCAGGCTCCATGCTGAGCAGAGAGCCCAAGGTGGGGCTCGATCCCAGGACCCTGAGACCATGACCTGAGCCGAAGTCAGAGGCTTAACCCACTGAGCCACCCAGGTGCTCCTTAAGGTGATTTTTTATGAAGACAAAGTGTTTATCCTTCAATAATCACTACTTATCTATGACAAATATAAAATTTTTACAACTTGCATTTGAAAGCTTTTAATATTTAGCTACAGTCTAGCTAGAAGGAAGTAAATATTGTAGCAATATAAGGTTTAATTTATTACCCAGGCCGGGCAGTAAGTAGCACAGCATTACCACTGCCAGCCAAAAAAAAAAAAAAAAAAAAAAAGGTTAACATGCGAGCACTTTCTAGTCTTAGGAACTTTGTCTGACCTTTTCAGCCAGTCCATGAAGTGGGTACTTTATTTCAATGATGAGGAAACTAAGGCTTTGAATTCAAAGAGGTTAACTGATTTATCTAGATCAACAGCCAACTAGAGGCAGAGCCAGGATTCAAACCCAAGTTTGAATGACTGGAAAGTCAGAAAGGCTGATCTGAAATTTAGCCTCCTACTAAGAGAATATAAAATGCCTGGAAAAATGTTAATAAAAATAATAATCTTTGCTATCTCTAGATAGTAAGTCTCAGATTATTTTTTCACTTTTCTTTTCTTTTTTTTTTTAAATTATTTGAAATTCCTACACTGAGTAAGAAAGTTTTTTGTTTTTTTTTCCCCAAAGAAAGTCAAGCTTCAGGAAAAAAACAAAACAAGCATACAAAAAACCCATGATTCTATAACTTGAGTTTTGAGACACTCAAAAAAGTGTTCCCATGGTCAAGTGGGAGACGAAGATATTAAAGGTAGGAGGAAAAACAGGATGGAATAGAAGGAAGTGTTTTTAGACGGGGAAGCCATATGGTAAGTCCCCTAGCCTACCACCTTTCTCTTAAAGCTCTGTTCACCTACATGTCTACATCTTTGAACCCAGAGATCTTCTCTATGAATTTACCTTAAGGAAAAGCTATGTGCAAGAACTCATCCATGGCAGCATCACCTATTAAGCTGGAAACAATCTAAGAGTCCAAAGTTAAGGCCTATTAATAAATTATAAAGATCAGATAAAAATGTGTATAACATTTATTATATAAGGTATATAAAAATAGGGGACACTGGGTGGCTCAGTCAGTTAAGTGTCTGCCTTCGGCTCAGGTCATGATTCCAGAGTCCTGAGATCATGCCCCGCATCAGGCTCCCTGCTCAGTGGAGAGCCTGCTTCTCCCTCTCCCTCTGCCTGATGCTCTACCTCCCTGTACTCTCTATCTCTCTGTCAAATAAAAAAATAAAATCTTAAAAAAAAATATATATATATATGGATATACTATCAATTTATTTTTTAGTTATATTTTTGTTATAATTTTCTCCTTTTAAAGTAAAAAATTACTTAAAATTTTTCCTTTAAAATGCCAGCATCATAATTACGTTATTAGAAGTAATAAGGATCAAATACATGGTGCCATAAACCAGACCTAAAAGTCTCCCAGCTGGAAAAGGAAGCAGGAAGCTTGAACACTCTACCCAAAGGACAATGACACGGTGATGTAACTGACCATGGGAAGTAGTCCATTCATAGGACATCAAGGTGGGTGGTATGATGAACAGAGAAGTTGCAAGCATATTAAGGCTGTAAAAATGTACATATTACGTGCTTTCCAACTTATTAGGACATATTATAAGTACAATGCAAAAGACTCTTACAGATGAAACCTCACATTTGCAAGTGTGGTAGAGAAATATATGCAGAGGTGGTTGGACATGCATTAAAAAAGGGGCCACTAAAAATGGAGTAAGGTATTTACATTACCCACAGTGAAGTTCCCTCTTTATACTTTGCCACTACTACTCTCAACAGGGCACAGTAGCTCCTGTGTAAACAGCAGTCACAAAACTGTGGGAAATTATTTGTAGACTATAATGTAAGAGCTTTTCATAATATTTTATTGCTAGAAGAAAAAAATACAGACCAAAATAAAAGAGGTATGCATAAAGAACAAGGGCTGAATATTTTAGAATAATTGGGAGAGGCTTATAGCTGTTTGTGGTAGAGAAGGAAGACAAATGCATCCTTAGAAGATACTAAAAACACAAACAGTCTGTGAATATCATTGTTTTTTTTTTTTTTTTAAACACCATTCTCACTTCTAAGTGAAATATGCTCTAAATTACCATATACCTAATCTTTCAACTGAGGAAAGTCGTGGTAATGGTGACTAAATATAACAATGAATAAATGAGAGATCTTTTTTCCTACTTCTGAAGGCCTTAACATATAGCTTTTCTCAAATCCCTTATTTTCTTCATAGCCTGTTATCTACTTTCTTTTCACTGGAAATTGAGGAAAGCAGCAGAAAATCATGAGTGTGGCAAGAAAATGATGAAATGGATTTCTGAGGTGGCTTGAGGAAATGAATATCAGGTGTTCAAAGTCAGTCACACTCTATATAAAAGCCTGGAGAGAACCAGAGGGGATCAAATTCCTCACAGCTCTGGAGGACATAAGGATTCAAATAAAATGGGCACCCTTGTGGCCAACTCTTCACACTTTTCAGATATTTAGGCTCTAAACCCAAGTGGATATTTCCACAGGAAATTTCCATTACAGTATTTTAAAATATCGCAGGGACCCTAAAAAGTCCTATAAGACATAAAAAGAACTATCTGTAATTAGAAATGTAACATCAACCACTAACCTGAATTTACATTGGCTCTAAAAATAGGAAGTCCTAATATTGCTGACCTTGGGACTTTCTGCCTTCTATTTAACCCAAAACATTTGCACACTTTAAGACATTTTCTTTCTGTTCTAGCCTTAGAGAATGCAAAGAATCACTGGCTGCTCTTAAGGCTGTGTAGTGATACTTCCTATGCGACGAACGTGACTATATTTTAATAAAATGGAACTTCTACGAAGTTTTCTGAAGCAGTCTTTGGAGATTGGTTTACTAAATTTCATATTTCCTTGCAGAATACTTTGACTTAAATGAATTACCCTGGTTCAGCTGAGGATTCCAAATGCACCACGCCCAGAAAACTTGACTTCTGGTTTCATGCTACCCAGCACATGCTTCTGCCAAACATTATGATTAAAGCAATCAACCTTGATTATTGTAGGTAGCTGAACCCAGGTTAAAAAAAGAAAATCAATTTTAAATACATTCCACAATGCTTTACAGAAGCAAACAAAAACGGAAAAACAAAACAAAACAGAAATGAAAAAAAAATCACAATTATTAAAAAGCTGATTTTTGTTTAAAACACCAAGCAAGGAATGGACATATGAATATTCCTAACCTGCAAAATGATTCCTCCACATTATATCAGCGAAACTCATTGGTGGGCCACTGGGAGGGTAGTGTTTACCTTTCAGAGGCTCATGATCAGTCCTTATCATATCCATTAAGGAGTTCTCCAACGAGTGCAAGTTAAAAGTGTCATAGGGCCTACTCCGGTCCTAAAAATAAAAACACAGAATGAGACAATACATAAAATTACTTCATAAAACTAATACTATATCATTTGTTTCTTGCCATGGATTGATGACATGAATCAAAGTTCCAGATTGTTCTAATAACACATATTCATTTCATTAAGAATAATGATTTGGCAACATTAAGCTTAATACAAGTTTCTAGAATTAATTGCATCCTTTTCCCCAATATTCTTTAATGTATATGTCCCACTACTTCAGACTTTCTCTCAAAAGAACTTAAGAAAGTAAATTCAAAGGAAAGAGTCAAGTCAACTGACTTTGCCCTCAGCCCTTCACCCCAGCCTCCAATGTCAAAGAAACATTCTATTCAAATGAACAGAGAATTTTTTATCTAGAGGAAGTCCATAATTAAGAATTCTCAGTCTACAAACAGAATCACTTTCCTGAAAAAGCAAAAGGTGACTGTAGTTTCAATCTAATTTTATCGGGTATCTTTAATATTTATTACTGATAAGTTCCATACATTAGATATACTCTATAAAACTTAAAATGTGTCCAAAGTTTTATGAAAATTAACTTTTGAAAACCACTCACATGAAAAAACTTTAACCCAAGATAGTGTTTTCATGATGCTAGAGGCAAAAACATTTTGAAAATAGAGAGCTAACACAACCTAAGTGAAGAAAATCATCGTTCCACCACATTTCACTCGAGCCCATGAGAGACTATCATGTGCAAATTATTTTTACTAGCCTGAGCTAAAGGGAAGCACAACTCATGGCTTAACTTAACATTAGAGAATACACTACATTAGAGACTTAGTTTGCTTTTGTTTAAGAAAAGCAAAACAGGGGCGCCTGGGTGGCTTTGGTTGTATCTGACTCTCGATTTCAGCTCAGTTCATGATCTCAAGGTCTTGAAATTGAGCTCTGTGTGGGGCTCTGGGCTCAGTGCAGGGTTTGCTTGAGATTCACTCTCCCTCTCCCATGACCCCCACACACTCACATGGGCGCTTCTCTCTCTCTCTCTCCCTCTCTCTCACACAAATAAATAAATCTTTAAAAAAGAAAAGCAAAACACACATCTCAACAACCACACCAAATCAAACGATAGCAATGAGAGATTATTTTCAGGGTTCTGAACAGTTTCCCCAGAGCTGCAAATAATTACTTAGCGTCTCCAATGAACAATAGTTCAGTAATTGTCTGGATGAGCAAAAAAGGGATAAAATAGGTTAAAAATCTCAACTTCAGTGACTATCTTCTAGCTTAAGTCTTAACTCTTGGGAAGCTGTTTTTCTTCTGGGTTCTGGAAAGCATGGCTGTAAATCTATTCAGGGAGCCAGAAAGGAAAGTGGCATTTCTGCAGCACTGAGCATAAAGGAAGAATCAGAGAGTTACTAACTGAATGAAAGCAGTATGTATACATGTAGATCCTAAGAAGAGCCCTCAACTGAGCACCAGGAGGCAAGAATGCTAGAATAACTACTATCAATTGGGGTCTTTGGGGTACATCATGATCTACCTCTCCAGTCAGTGCCTGAAATTCCTCCCTTTATTCAAACGAGAGGACTGGCTAGAGTATTTCTAATATCCCTTACAATTCTATATATTTTTTTTTAACTCAAAGATGAGGAGTAGCAGTGGAGGGTGCAGATGTTTTCAAATGCCAGAGACAGAAATTCCATTTTTACAAACTTTTAATGCACAGGTCAAGGGTCAACTCCTATACTAGGCCCTGGTGATAGAGATGAATGTTGCAGGGGTGCCTGGGTGGCTCAGTGGGTTAAAGCCTCTGCCTTCGGCTCGGGTCATGATCCCGGGGTCCTGGGATCGAGCCCCGCATCGGGCTCTCTGCTCGGCAGGGAGCCTGCTTCCTCCTCTCTCTCTGCCTGCCTCTCTGCCTACTTGTGATCTCTCTCTGTCAAATAAATAAATAAAATCTTTTAAAAATTTTTTTTAAAAAGTACACACTCTGAAATCAGCCATCTGATTTTCAAATTCTGGCTCTGCCAATTGCTGGCATGTCACTCTGAACAAGTTTCTAAACTTTGGTTCACCTATAAAATTATAATTTTCCCTATGGTTATTTTCAGTACTAAATGACAGAATGTAGAACAAGGCATCTGTACAGTGGTGGCTACTGGAATATCAGGGAGAACAAAAAGAAACTTTTATGATGCCACCTTAGAGTACTGGGACATATATTTAAAAACCCAGAGGTTCACTAGTGCTCAACAGATGAAAAGATGACAGATGAAATGCAGGACAAAGTTTGCACAGCCTTCTTAACTGAACGAATTTCAATGCAGAGGTTTATTTTCTCATTAAAATTTATTTATCTATGCCTCACTGATATACTTTTGAAGCATATTATTCATCCTTTTTGTTTTATAAGTAGTAAACATTGCTAAAAGCAACTGATTAACCAGGAAGCCTGCAAGAAACAACAAAAAGGACAGAAAAAGTACAAAATTTGCAGTGAAATTCAAGCAGAAATCATACATAGATAAAACCAGACCACAATTTATCATTTGACAACAAAAGTTAGAAGTGGCAACTAACCTTTCAAGTTGTTTTTTTTTTTTAAATAAGTTTTGGTTCTCAATATAGGGAAAATAAGGAAAAGATCTTTTTTTTTATTTGTTTTTAATAAGCAAACACACCAGGAAGTATTAGAACATTTATAAATAATGCATCCCATTATTGACTCTTTCTTTAAAGATAACCAATGACAAATGCTATCAGTTAGCTGTATATAGAGGGAGCCCACTCCGATTGTACAGTTCACTAGCCCTGCTTTATTTTCTTCCCTCAGCTTGACTTAATATTAGTAAATTTATCAGGTATTTAAAATATGCCTGCCACTATTCTAAGCATGCTAAATGCATCCCCTCACAACTCTATTTTATAAACTAAGCAATTAAATCTTGGACAGATTAAGTAACTGGCCCAATATTCACAGGGCAGTAAGCAACAGAGCCAAGGCTCCAATCTACTCAAATCCAGACTGTGTTCTTAAGGCGTCTCACTCTACGCCTCCCTAACTTCCTCCTACTCCCTCTACCTTAAATCCTTTTCACAAACATTCCCTCAACCTAATCCTAACACATTCGGAGAGGGGCTTCTTTGACCACCACCCTACCACACAGGCAACCTAATTAATCCTCATTTGCCCTTAGTCATTTACTCTTATTCAAATGACAGTTAAACTCAAGAAGTGGCTTGATGTACCCTCTAGCATTGCCACAGGCCCACCTCCACCAGCCCTATCCCACTCACCTGCCTTTTTCTTGGGAGAGAAATCTAGGACTTTTTCTATCCTTCTGGCTTATTCCCATATTGTCTCCTAGAGATACAAGATAGAACGCTGCAAGGGTCCAACAACATCTGAGAAAAAAAGCAGCTCCAGAACCAAAGATGAAATTAATCATGGTGTTTTGCATGATAGGAACTGGGCTAAATGCTTTATAGCCATGATCTCCATCCTCACCACAACCCTAGAGGGTCAGCATTATCTCCATCTCACAGAAGAGAAAACTGAGGCTCACAAAGCTTATATATATATAATTGCTCAAAGTCACAAAGGTAGGCAGATATCAGGATGTGAACCCCCATCTATGACTTTCAAGTCTATGCCAGTAATGTTCCAAAACTTCTACAGTGATCAGTTGCTTTGTGTCCCATAGACAATGGGACTTGGCTAGCAAAAACAGAAGCACAGACAGGATCAAAAATCAAAAGGTGGGTAGATGTTTGAAAAGGCTAGGAAAGGATAACTGGGGTTGTCAAATAATACAGAAAAACAGGAGGAATTCTTTTTGTTTTTTTTTTAAGATTTATTTATTTGACAGAGAGAGAGAGAGAGAGATCACAAGCAGGCAGAGAGAAGAGAGAGAGAGGAGGAAGCAGGCTCTCCGCTGAAGAGAGCCCGACGAGGGGCTCAATCCCAGGACCCTGAGATCATGACCTGAGCCAAAGGCAGACGCTTAACCCACTGAGCCACCCAGGCGCCCCAACAGGAGGAATTCTTAAAGGAAGGTTTTTACATTTATCATATGGTTTCAACATAGGTATGGATAAAACATTTCAAAGTTAAATGCATTGAACACATAAGGGAGGATTAACTCACAAAACAAGTCATTTCCAAATTTCTGCTCTACTGCTCTTATTTTCTAAAAATTTTTTATTGGGGAGGGAGGGGCAGAGGGAGAGAAAGAATCTCAGTCAGGCTCCACATCCAGCACAGAGCCCAACACAGGGTTCAATCCCATGACCCCAAGATCACGACCTGAGCCCAAAACAAGAGTTGGACACTTAACCAACTGAGCCACCCAGGTGCCCCTACCGTTCTTATTTTCTAATGAGTTAACATTATTTGAAACTATCTCAGCTCCCTATCTATACTATAAATACTGTTTAGTGGTAATTAATATGCTTTATTTATTTTAAATGAATATTTAAGCACACAACTAACACATAAATCCATTCTTCCCGAACACACACAAACAGAAGACTATGACAGAAAAAGCAAAGTCTCCAATCCTGCCTTCTTACATTCTTCAGACCGCTACACACATTTGGCATGTATTCTTTCAGATGTTTAAAAAAAATATATACATATATATATATGTGTGTGTGTGTGTGTGTGTGTATATATATATATATATATATATATATATATACACACCCTCAGAAAAATGTTTTATGTTATTTCTTCCCCTAAACATAGAAGTATGCATACTGCTCTGCAATTTGCTTTCTTTGACTAATACTGTGCTTCTGAGATAGGTCCCTTTGAATAGGTATGTTCTTGCCTCTCCCCAACCCAACCATATACATCTCTCTCCTACAAAGTAAATGCATAATGACTAAATTAAAAGAATCAAGTAATTGCTTCCATATACATTCTATAAAATAACTTCTGATTTTGAGATTTCTTTCTCATCCTCTAGTTTTCTCAAAATTTCGGTTCTGACCCTTTAACTCCATCTCTTCCATGCTTGGTCTATTTAGCACAAT